CGTTTCCAGTCCAATGTCACATTGGACTGACATTTTTTATTACATTTTACTTTGGACTAGTTCATACTGAAACTTGACTTTGGCCTTAACCAACTCTAGGCGAAAGTGAAATTAGACTTTGGACTAGGCCAATATTACATTGGACTGAATTTCACTTTGGACGCTAACATATATGTTGAGCGTTCCGGACAGACAGACAGACAGACAGACGGACAGATATGTCTTGACTATTCTTATGTATATATAAACAAAAATATAAAACATTTATTACCAAATGGTATTCCAACTGACGATATATGGTTAATTGTTTGTTAATCGTAATCTAGATCAGTATAAAAAGGTTAGTTCATTGTATTTATTTTATTTCTTAATTAAGACCAAAGGTAAAGCAAAAATTTAGTCTGTTATGAAGAAATAGACAGAAAATTATGTCGAATGAAAGACAATAGAAGCTGACGAATAAAATTCAGTTTTACAAATTATTTGAATGAGCAGTTGGAAATAAAGTTTTAAATATAAAGTATAATACTGCTATGAAAATCATAATAAAATTCTTCTGAATTTATTTAAACACTCGAGCTTTCGATCACAACTTAGATTATTTTCAAGAGTGAATGACAAAAGGAAAAGAAGCAGTATATATACAAAAATACATGCAGAGCGAAAGAAGAATTTTGGAAAAATCTAAAATACCAAACAATAACGAAAGAAGAGAGGAAAAAACCATAATAACACATTAAAATGAGCGTTCTAATAAATTCAGAAGAATTTTATTATGATTTTCATAGCAGTATTATACTTTATATTTAAAATTCAGTTTTACATCCGTTGCCATGGCTACTTAAGATGTAAACTACATCCATACGACAAACATTCTAATGCTTTTGCTCTGACGTCTACAATTCCTAAACACTGTACGTGAACCGAATTTAGATATTGAGCTGTTTTGCATATTAATATCTCATTATCTTTTACAAATAGTTCACCACATAAAACACAACCCTTTTTAACAGGAATATCTTTAATCGAATATTGAGTTGAACGACATCTCCTATGTGATTGAGAATCCATAGCATCTTCAATATTCGCATTAAATTCTTTACATGGATCACAAACTTTTAAATCAGAATTTTCATCGACAGCCGCTGTTGACTCAGTTTTCGAAACATATTCATTTAACTAAAAGGAACATGTAGATTCATCCATATAAAAAAGGAGTAGATTTCAACGGGTTTCGACATTGCAACTAATAAATGATGAAATATTAGAATCTCTATTCTCAATTGATCATGGTATTAAGTTTTAATGTTACTTCTGTTTTATCTAGATCCGAGCTACAGCTTTCAAAAACATGAATCTCAAAACAACGTCTCGAACATCTCACAGTATTAATCTTCTTCCTGATATGCTTAAGTGAAGAGCTTACCTAAGAAAAAGTCGAGTATTACAAAAACAGGTGCTATGCAGTGTTGGTGGGACAAAGCTAGTATTATCTCAAATGAATTTTCTTAAAAAAAGTATTGAAAACAAATCTTCCTACTATGAAGCGTATGGAATATCAAATATCGAACTCGCTAATATATCGTGTCCTGATTTAAATTATGAGTGAGAACTAAACATTTATACATACTTTATTCAGAAAGGTTTTTTTTCGTTTTGATTTTGTTTCTGCTCTTTTCTGAGGATCTTCGACATATTCTTTATTAACAGGACCCGAACGGTGTTGACTTTTGCTGCCAGATGTGTGAACCATATTTATACTTTCAAAAGAATAACTTCACTTTTCGAACTTGAAGAGAAAGGCTGTTCGACGATATTTATTTATGCAGATGAAGTACAGCTTAACTAGTGTTAGAAAAATAATTAAGAAACAGGTTCTGATCGTTTATTCTATAACTATTTGTCAGTGTGTTATGTTTTTCCCTTCTTCTCTTGTGCACATGGACATTGTTTAGAGACGCATGCTTATAATGTTTTGTATATGTACGTGTGTATATACATTCTGTTTTTTCTCATTGTTATTCACGTAACGAAAACAAAGAAAAGAAAGAACTTTGTCTATACAAGTACAAAGCTAGAGAATGACTACAGATGAATACAAAGAGAAGCACTCATGAAATTTATCAGATACGTTCACACTTATTTGACAGAGTTTTATTTATCATAAATCGCAACTCTTGCTACACTTAACCTTCTTATGTACTTATATAAAAAAAAACTTTCTAGTAAGGCTTCGTACACATATAAATGTGCGTAAAGTACAAATAAATGTATGTAGATCAATCAATATATCTGACAAGATATATTGCCGAAACTGGCAATACTGACCTTGCTCGAACTAGCAATATTGCCAGATTAGGAGAGATAAAATGGACGATATTGAGCTAAATTTGTTTTCCATTTCTCCCATGAGAAAGGAAAAAGATGGAACACATAATTTTGATGCACAATGAATATACAACGTGCAAGAAGAAGAATAAGCACTTGCCACCCGTTAGAGGACCTATGGTTTCCAAGGGTTTTGCGACATTAATAAAAAACCCTTTATTTTCTTAAAATACCTTTCCAAAGAGTATTTTAAAAAACTAAAACGATTCAGTAACGATACTCTACCCTTTTAGGTTTAGTAATGTAATGATTATGTCATTAATAAATATTGAGCCGTTCGTACTTTGAATAATTCATGTTTACCGATTTAGGACAATGTTCGAATACGTGTATTTACAACAAAAAGTTTTATTTGAATGAAAACAAAAAGGTATGTGCATAACATAGACTTCGTAAGAGAAAAAAAATTCGAACGTCAGACTTACGTGGACTCTTAGAGAGATTTTGAAAGTGTATAATTGGGACTTAAGCCTGCTTCTTCTCCCTTGGAGATGATAGTTTTGAAAATCAAAACAAACTTGTTCTGTTCTTAGAAGAGTTACATTTTCGACTTCTTCTGATCGAAATTGGGCGCATGCAGACAGGTGAAAAAAGTCATTCTGAGCACACACAGAGAACTGGAGATGCCATCTTTTTGAGAACTGTCGAAAAAATCAGTATAACATTTTAACTCAGCACTTTTTTGAGTTGGGAGAGATCTTATTTTGAAAAAATATTCTGAACTAGCTGATTTTGCTGTCCAAAGAATTTTGTTTTTCTTGTAGAGACGAAAAAATTTCAAAGTAATAATAATAACATTTATTCACAGAGGATGGTAATACATCAAAACTTTTTGTGTACATTTCATTGACGATACATGAATAGAAATGAAAATATCCAGAAAACAAGGACTGTTGCGCGCACTACAATCAAAAGAAAGACAAAATCACTAACCAATACAGAGTCTATTACTTTGATTAATCAGCAAGAGATCAAATTAAAAAAAGGCATTTTAAATGCTTAATAGTGTTAATTGTACTTGTTCTTTTATTCTTTATCTTCCGTCGTCATACATGGGGAGGTTCTTAACCCTACTTCAATTCGGCGCTCTAATTCTTTAATTTTATTGTTGCGTCTTTCCAATGAAATCCGCATGCTGTTAAGAGCATTATTCAATGAATCCAGGCCAGCTAATAATTGTGTATTTAATGATGAAACACAAACATTTTTATTAGTTAGTTCTAGAAAGAAAAGAAACAAGACGATCAATTATGAGCATGCTATTCTTACTTTCATTAATGCAGATTTTCACAGAGTTTTTTTACTTTTATATGAAGACTTACAGAAACTTATTTGCACACTGGACCTAACGGACAGCAGTGAAGATAGAAAAACGTGAGTCAGATAATATTACGTAGAAACAACATGCATTTATGGCAAAATATCATTAAAGCCACACGCCTTCATATAAAAACAGTTTTTCTCAATATTAAACAGCTCAAAAAGTGCGTTTTTTGTTATAAATGAATATGTAGCAACGTTAATTGTACAATACCGTTAATGTAAAGAAAAAAATACGCAGCTTCAGACTAAAAAAGAGGTTATAAAATTAATCGTTAAAACGCGCGTTTCTTGCGTATCATTCAAAATTTGACCACTCTTTCCTGACTATAAAAAATATTTTACAACTTTTTCGACTCGATTTTAGTGCAAAAAAGTAGCATTTCTTCCGTTTTTCTTCATTTACTATTCTGTCTATTCCTTAGCCATCACAACCGTGAATTATAAATGTTTTACTTTCAATAAACTTAGTTAAACATGTCAGTCCTTTAAGGCAGCGAGAAGGAGGGAGAACCTCTTCAGAAAATGTCATTTTCGCCAAAAATCGCAACTAATTGAGATATTGTTACGCACTAGTACCCCAAAGTCTCTATTTTCAAAATTAGTGCTACTGCATGCATGTTCACAATGACGGAGCCTTTCATGGGTTATACCAGTCTGCAAAGAGCACCAGAATTTACTCTTCACATTATTTATTTATTTCCTCATTAGCCATCCTGGCGCTAGTATCTTCGGCTGCCTCGGTAACGATTTCTCGAGCTGTTCAGAAGCTAGAGATTTCAAATCTCTGAAAACCAGGTCCCCGAGTTCGATCTAGGAATTCTTCGTAAATAACTCTGTCATATGGAGTAAACATTTCTGAACATGAGACGTCTCCGAGCTCTCTGCGACACTTTTTCAATTCAACCTACGAAAGGTCCCATACCAGCAAAATCATCAGAATGAGCGGGAAAACAAGAAAGCCCCGCCCTTAGGGCCTTTCGTACATTGAATGCTGTTTCACGAAAAAGTGGCGCAAAGAGTTCGGAGATGTCTCATTTTGTTCAAAAAAATATTTGCTTCATATGACAAAGTTATTTGCGAAGAATTCCTAGATCGAACACGGGGACTTGGTTTTCAGAGATTTAGGTTTCTCAGAGACCCTGGTTTGAGAAGTTTCGATGGAATCTTTATATGCCACATCAGATTGGAAATTCTTGCAGCTGTAGATTCTACGCTTTTTTGGAAATCAGTGAAAATATTATGAATAGACCAGTTTGTAGAGAATTGAAAGAGCTTTCTAATTATGCGTTCGTTTGTTTATATGCTCCTATAGTGTCAGATCAAAGCGCATGAAGAGGATTTCAGTGGTGCTCTGTAATGTCAGCTTCCAAGTGAAGAACCTATCTGGATTGAAACGGCTATAAATCACTTAAAAGCACCTAAAATCCACACTATGCTAAGGTTGCAATTGCGACAAATCGAGACTTTTCCTTTAAGTAGGTATCTGCGGCAAGCTGCGGATGAGAATATAGACTTGCAGGACATTAAGAATAAAGAGTACAAGAGGATAACAAGGATTTAGCAGACCAAAGGACGAGGAGGATAGGGGGGACGAGAAGGATAAGTAGGATAGAGAGGACGAGAAGGATAAGGAGGATAGAGAGGACAAGAAGGACAATAAAGACAATAAGGACAAAAAGGATAATAAGAACAAGAAGGATAATACGGACAATAAGGACAAAAAGGATAATAAGGACAAAACGGACAATACGGACAAAAAGGACAAGAAGGACAA